ATGCCAACCGAATGCTCGGGCCAGTCGGGATCAAATCAAATCCGAAAGAGAAGCTACGGTCAAACGTGCGAATCTCTCACTGCAGGTAGACTGCAAATAGGGCGATGCCAATTTCGTAAGATCCAACGCCTCCAAAATACAAGCGTATCTTTTTACCGCTTAAAGGATCACGCTCACCCTGGCTCCTACTTTTCGGAATATATCTTTGGAGTACACTGACCGCCTTCAGTTGTTAAGGGTTCAGATTTCTCTGAACCTCAACTATAGGCAGTTCACTGAGTGCAGGGCCAAAGCAACTGCAAGGAAACTAGGTGCCCTTGCAAGGTTGCGGCGGTACTTCACGGCGGGGCAGCTTTATACCCTATATAAAGCGCAAGTCTGATTGTGCGTAGAGTACTGCTGTCACATATGGGCTGGTGCTGCAAAATGCCACCTAGTAGCGATGGACTCAGAGAGACGTGCTAAGAGGCTTATTGATAATCTTCATTTGGTTGAAATCAATCTTGTCAGCACAGGCGCAAAGTAGCCAGCCTCTCGGTATTCTATAAAATGTATTTCGGAGAGTGCGCAGGAATTACTTAATTTTTTTTATAGGATATGGTGACAAACGAGCACAGTCCACTTGATGGTGGTTGCTGTGACCTATAGACATCTACATCTATCTTCGATTACGAATAAAAATACAAATGCGTTGTCACCCGTGAGGACTAAAATGGAATGCCTCGTTTCCAGTAAAAAGGGGTCTCCGGTTCTGCACTCAATATGCGAAACACAGCAGCGTTAAGCTGCTATTTTACGCTGGTATTCTGTGAGAACGTAGTCCTTCCCTGGTCGAGCCGACCCATTCGTTCTACAACTATAACAGTAATATAGCTGCAGCATGGCTCTACCACTGTTAAAAAGTTCTCAGAGAGTGATTTTAGGAACTGTTGGACTGTGGGGAGCTCTAAGTCTCAGTGGAGGTTGGCGTTACGGACGTACCAGGGTGCGTTCGTAGCCCGAAGACAGAAGTGGTTTTGAACTATTTGGAGTTCGTTAATGATTTTGGGATTAGCGTAAGCAAATATGGGGCTTGCGTAAGTCATAACTAGGTCGTATACAGACCTCATAAAAAGGGTTCGCTTGTTTCGCAGGGACATTTTACTGTGTCGGCCCAGCATACTGTTGAGCCTACTCAGATAAAAGCGCGCGTTGCGAGTTACTCTATTGACATGGAGCCCAAAGGTGAACCTCGTGTCAAGGCTCACCTAAGGTGACACCTAAGTATTTGGCGGTCGTATACGGATTTGCGGAATGGTAGTGGGGCGGCATCGTTTATGATCGAAGTGAACGGCGGAGCTCTTCTCCGGGCTCACATCGATACGCCATTTTTGAAACCAATCTCAGAAAGTGGGAAACAGATGGAGTCTTATGCGAGTGAGGATGACTCGTTCAAAGAGTTGAGGAGGCTGATGGGGCCCCAGGAGAAAACTGGAGGCTGTGAGGGCTGAGAGAAACCCTCTTTCGGTTCCTTAGGTTCATTTACAGATTTATTAAAAAGTATATCACTGCAACGTAGTGTTATAAAAAACGTGATTATTAATAATTTCTGCTATTTATGGCAAACAGTAGGATTTGCAATGATATTTAATTTAATTTAGTAAATATTTTCAAGGGTTCCCCTACTAAAAGTGACGAAATTCTTCGAAAGCATATCGTAGCTGATTTCGGACAAGAATATTGTTTGGTTTCATAATATGTAAATACACACTGGAGTAGCATAGCCGCGATGTTAAGTCGTTTTCTGAAGTTAAAAACGATCACAAAAGCATTAATTGTTTTTAAATCTGATATTGAGGAAGACTGGACAAACATAGAAGAGTTAAATAATACATTGGATGTTATTAAAACTATCGTAGAAGCTTTATCCCGTCACGATGCAACATTAATTACAGCCGATGTTTCTTTAAAATTTGCTATAAGAAAATTTATTGAAATGAATACTCATCTTAGTAATAAAATGGTCACTGCATTGCGAAAACAATATAAAAAACATGCAAGCATCAATAGTGCGATACTTAGCCAACCGTGACAGTTATTTTGCCAGTATGGATGAAGATGCAACTACACGTTACCCGAAATTCAAAATTTTTACGTGTTAGAGCCATGCTGCAGCTATATTACTGGTATAGTTGTAGCACGAAGGGTCGGCTCGAACGGGGAAGTACCACGCTCTCACAGAATACGCTACTGTGTATGGTGAGTGTAGAGAAACGGATACGCTTTTTACTGGAAACGAGGCATTCAATCTTAGTCCTCACGGGTGACAACGCATCTGCATTTTGATTCGTCATCGAGGATACATGTAGATGTCTATGGGCCACAGCAACTCCTTACTATCAGGTGGACTGTGTGCTCGTATGTTATCCTTATTCTATAAAAAAAAAAGTCGCACAAAAGATAGACAAAAAATATCCCTTGAAGATACACCAGCAATTGGAAGTCAAAATCCGCAGGAAGTTCAATTACATGAATTCCCTCTAACAAATGAAGAGGAATTCAATAGAAAGCTGTCTAAAGCTGTCAATACTGCTACTGAATCGAAGATCAAGAAAAAACTTAATTACTACTGTGAGAGTTAAAATGGCTCTATTTGAAAATGGTGGGCAAAGACAACGAGGGTACTACTTATCGATAGCTTATGAACATTTAAAAACTATTTCGCCCACCAGTGTAGAGCCAGAGCGAATATTTTCTTCATCTGCAATAGGCTGCGCTCGTCTTTGAGTGATGAAAAATTTGCATGCATTAATTTTTCTGCGTTTTTTTATTTAAGTAAAAAAAATTAAGAAGTAATGTTAAATGAAAACTATTTTTTTTTCATAAGTAAGCTGATTTATGTGTTGTTGTAATAACAGTATCCTTATAGTATATTCTATGATAGAATATTGTAATGTTATAATAGAATAGAATCTTTCGAAATTATTTTTATGTTGAATGATATTAAAATTTAGGTAGTGTGAAATAACTGTTAACGTGCAAATGTAAAATGAATGTCTCTAGTTAGCGAGATGTTTCATTATATTTAATTAGAAAGAAACGATTTGCAATAAACTGTTTTCTTTATGAATATTATTATCGTTAATCACATTGAACGAAATAGCCTCCAACCTAAAAAAAAGACAAGAACCGGGTACCCGGTTACGGCAATAAATTTAGAACCGAAAGAACCGGTTCCTGGAAAGGGACCTAGGACAAATGTTACTAACTCACCTCTCTTAAATATCTTTAAGCCTGCTCTCTAATAATAGAGAGCCTCGCAATATGGTCGTTTGTCACCCTCACGGTGATCAGCGATTGGTTGCGTGGTTGGCACTTGTCTTTGAAAAAGTTCGGGAGAAACGACCTCGCAGTAGGATCCTCCTTCGCCACGACAACGCTTCGTCGCACACCGCCAAGCAAACAGTCGACTACTTGGCGACGTCAGACGTGGAATTACTAAGTCCCCCGCCCTATAGCCCCGACCTCGCACCTTGCGATTTTGTTTCCGAAAATAAAAGAAAAATTTCGAGGAGAACGTTTTATGGGTGCCGAGGAAGCAGTGGCTGCCTTTCAAAATGCCGTCAAAGAGACCCCTAAGGACGAGTGGGCAAAGTGCTTTTATCACACTTTTAGGACACTATTTTGAAAATATATAATAAAACTAATAACTCGTTAGTTTATTCAGTTTTTGATTTACTAAGAACTTTCAGTGTCATCCTCGTAGTGCCATAGTTACCACGCTTGGCGAGCGGGATGGCAACTGCAGTTTTTTATTGTTATTTACCTGTTATCAGAAAGACGCTGCTGCCCATCTTCTGCCTCTGTTTCCCTCTGTCGCCTCTTACGACACCCACTGGATGTACATAGGTGGGGTAGTGGATATTCTTACCCGCCACTACACGGGGGTAAAATTTAAGATAAAATCTTATAATATAAAAATGAATCGCTGAATGTGTTGCTAAGCGCAAATCTCGAGAGAAGCTGAACTTATTTCGCTAATTCTTTTTTATAATATTCCTTGAAGTACGAAGATGGTTCTTACGGAGAGAAAAATTTAAAGAATTGCCTGTAAAAGTCTAAAAACAACATTTTTCTATATTCCCATACAAAAGACATAATGTAATTGTTGACTTACCAACTTTCTTTTTTCTTTTTTTATCTTACTAGCTGACCCCGTGTCCTGAATAGCAGAATAAGTTTAAAAAAAAAATAAAAATTAAAGAATCGACTGTTAGGCGGTACGAAGTTCGCCGGGTCCGCTAGTATTCTATTATATTATCAAAATTTACACTCTTAACTTTTTCGATAGATAAAATGGAAAAATTGTTTAGTCGCGCTTGGCTAATTGTGAACCTTACGGAACATTTTATTAACTTGAGTTTTGAAAAGCTTCTTTTACGTGAAGCTACCGAAACACAAATAGTCAAAAAAAAATTAGACACAGTGCTGGATTCGGAACAGGGACCAGACTCAGAATAGCCCTATTTTATACAATTAATCTATGTAGCTCCAATGAAGTCCAGCGGTACTACGGGAATATGCGACGGTTATAAATCACTGATTAATTGTGTTTTTTTATAGGATATGGTGACAAACAAGCACACAGTCCACCTGATGGTAAGTGGTTGCTGTGGCCCATAGACATCTACATTTATCCTCGTTTGCGAATCAAAATGCAGATGTGTTCTCACCCGTGAGGACTAAAATGGAATGCCTCTTTTCCAGTAAAAAGGGTCTCCGGTTCTCTACACTCACCATACGAAACACAGCAGTGTCAAGCTGCTATTTTACGCTGGTATTCTGTGAGAGCGTGGTCCTTCCCCGGTCGAGCCGACCCAATCGTGCTAACTATACTACTAATATAGCTGCAGCATGGCTCTACCACGTTGAACCATGCTGCAGCTATACGTTTGTGGCTACGCGCGCTACCTTCTTCGATCGCGTTACTCACTCGACCAAGCGCTACCTAATCGTAAGCTGAACTCATTTATTTAGGACATTAAATTATGTTCAAAAGTAAATAAAAATAAATTTGCGGTACAAATTAAGATATAATATTTGTTTGAATTAAAAATTAAAAAAGAGTAGAAGCCTAAGTAGGAAATAGAATTTTTAGAGCGTTTTTTAAATCGCTTATTTCGTACTTAATTAATGTCTACTTATAAAATTACTGTGGTTGATTACCTAGGTCATAAACATAAGTAATATTACGATAATTATTATAATAACAATAGGTTCTTATATAGTATAAAAATGCGGAGATTTAAATAACAAAGCCGGTTCGATGTCACCGTTGGCATCTGGAAAGAATAATTTGTTACAAGAGCTCGATTATCCCGCGCTAACTGAAGGCCAATTTGCTTCTAGAAGGGCGGGCGGGGATCATGCGCAGCTAGCCAGCTAGTCGCTTCGTGTCTCCCGCGATCCATTCACGAGTGCGCGCGCGGCCCATATCACCACTACGGTGCCGCGATGTGGCGCGCCTGGTACTTCATCCTGTGCTTAGTGCCAGGTGAGACAATGCCACCATCTGTTTATCACGCTTAACCTTTAATAAATAAAATTTTATAGTTACAAACCCGGCAACTAAAGTCGGAGGCAGTATGACAAACGGATATCACCGCTTAGAATAAAAATTGTGTAATATTGCAACGTTCTTCAAATGGAAAGAGAGTGATGTTCTAAATATTGTGTTTTGTTTTCGCATCGCAAAAACATTCAAATTGTGTCACTTTCCCTGTTAAATTTAGAATCCTTTTAAAATAGGTACGAAAGATTTTTTTTTAATAATGCTAGTTCTTTATGGTTTACCTAACCATCTAAACTTAATATTAAAAATAATATATTCCTTTTCATAAAAAATAACCTATTTTATTCTCTTAGTTAATAGTACTATATTTACCAATCACTGCTACGACCTGCGATACGAGTTTCTTAATCTTTTATGTACATATCTACTAGTTTATTTATGTACTAGCGATCCGCCCCGGCTTCGCACGGCTGATTTCTGGATCTCAACTACAGTGCCACCTACCGGGTCTAATTGTGAAGCTCAAACTCAAAGACGCACAAAAAATTCATCAAAATCGGTCCAGCTATTTTCTGGTTTTTACGAGACTAACAGACAGCAATTGATTTTAATATAATAGAGATTAAATATACATACGAGAAAATTAAAGAAAATGCAACTCTTAGATTAATATATTTTCATTTATGTGAAGATTTTCTCAAAATTAAGAGGAATTAAATGAAAATCATTTAAAAATCTTTAGTTAGTATTTTTATCAATATATTTTAATCGATTATTATTGATATACCTACTTTAGCCTGTAAGAATAATATTGCAAGTCGCATTAAGATGTCCTCGAGTCGTTTTTATATGAGTATCAATTACGCAGAGGAATCTTGTCCCTTTCGATATTTTCTCACTTTAAAAAGTTAGCGATACTTTAGTACCAATAGATATCAGGAGCTCACGTAGCTCCTAGGTTAGGTGTTACAAACGTAAACAATTACGTAGGCATTTACTCCACTCTTTTATACAGGCGAGAAAGTGCATACATAAACATGTAATTTTACTAATCTAAACGAGCCTCTGATCAGGTATCTTACTAATAATAATACCTATCTGTAGAAAAGTTGCGTTAGTAATTTTAATATATTTTGGACAAAACAAGTTTAAAATGCTAAAATAAATTAAAGGGATACCGAACCCCAATGAGTGATATTTGTAGTGCTTGTCTCTGCATATTCACGATCTACGCAAAACTACTAGACGAAAATCCATAAAATCTGATATGGAGATAGCAAATATAGACTAGGTATTTCATATGTATTTAATATTATTGTATACCTAATATCATTTTTACAAATAATATTTTTAATTATTATTATATATTTTTAATATTATATTTTAATACCATTGTGACGTACATAGTTTATAAATATTTAACCGTCACTGTGTAGTAGCGGCGTATAAATCTTACCTCATAATTATCATCTCGTAGGTGACGGCATAAAAATCCATTATCTTATTATATCATCTCGTACGTGTCGCAAGATGCGACAGAGGGAAACGAAATAGGAAATTGACAGCAGCATCTTCCTGATAACAACTCTAAATAATTGCAAGTCTTTAGCTATGAAATTGCCGTTTTGTATGGGAAAATTGAAATAAACTGATGAGAAACTGAGATGCCTATCCAGTGGCGTTTGAGCGTCATTACAACTGTAGGTATATACCTACAAGCGGTAAATTAAAAAAATTGTACAACCGATTTCAATATAAATAAAATGAGAACATCATCAATGTAGGTAGTCGAAGTTATGAAAGATTAAATACGCAATATTAAGGATAACTCAAAAACTACTGGTCAGATCTTGATCAAATTTATAGAGAACCACATGAGAAGCACCAGCTTTCAAATAAAAAAAGAATCATCAAATCCGTGAAAAAAATGAGAAGAGAAAGAGAAAAAGTTCTAAGGTAAACACATTAAAAATAAACAGTCGAATTGAGAACCTCCTCCTTTTTAAAATGGGAAGAATATATTAATTAATCTTTTTCAACCACTTCAAAGGTTGAAAAAGATAAATTAATATATTCTTGCTATTTTATGGGCAGTCAGTTGATACTTTTGTTATAGAAGTTTGCTGCACGAAAATCGATGAACTCTTTTAAAAACGTTCTTTTCTGCTTCTTTAGAATTAAAATTATTGCCTATGAAAAAGTTATTTGTATATCGAAAAAAGTGGAAGTCTATAGGTGCAAGGTCTGTAGAAGTGGATGAGAAAGAGTCTCTAGCTCTTGGTCTGCTAATTTTACCAACGCCTATTATATTAGTATGTGACCGGACATTTGAAGGTCGGTTTACATTAACGGTCAGACATAACTGTCACATCAGAAGGCAACTGTCATCATAAGATTATTCTGGCAAATCTTTTATTTAGGCACTGTTTGGCTTTGTTCTTGGGACGAACCACTTTGATGAACGTTTGCGATTGTTGTATAGGATCCACTTCTGGTAGGTAACATGGTAAAAATGATGCAAGCTCGGATGCGGTCGTCTCTCTGCGTCATTCAGTTCGCGAGTTACACATTTCGCAAGCTTCTTTATTTTATCGATTTTTTTATAGAATAAGGGGGACAAACGAGCACACAGTTCAACTGATGGTAATTGGATGGTGTGACATATAGACAACATCTTACCTTGATTAAGTATCAAAATGTAGAATGCGTTGTCATCCTTGAGGACTAAAATGGAATGCCTTATTTCCAGTAAAAAAGGTCTTCAGTTCTCACCATACGTAACACAGCAATGTAAAACTGCTATTTTACGCTGGTATTCTGTGAGAGCGTGGTCCTTCCTCTGGAACTGGAAAAGAGTGGTGATAACGCATCTGCATTTTGATTCGCAAACGAGGATAAATGTAGGTGTCTATGGGCCACAGCAATCACTTACCATCAGGTGGACTGTGTGCTTGTTTGTCACCCGATCCTATAAAAAAATGAATAGTTTTTTTTCTATAAAACTGAAGCGACGAACAAACCCACAGTCCGCTCAATTGTTGTTACTGCAGTCCATGGACACCTACAACCCACCTCAAATTAAGGAGGCCACAGATACGTTATCACCTCTGAGAACTAAGATAGAATGCCCCACAGTCTGTGGTTATACTGGCTCCACACCCTTGAGGCCGGAACATAGTGCAAAAAGTCCAAGCACTACTATTTGACGGCAGAAATATGACGGTGGTACCTACACTACCTTCACACCCAAACTTCTGGGCAATAAAGTAGTCATATATATGAAAAATATAAATATTTTTTTTGAGTTTTCTCTTTTTATTAATTTAAATACATAGTGTTATGATTTAAATTATAGTATCATGATCTATCAAAAATGCAAAAAATTGAGATGGTATTGAGTTTTATTATGTACTATTCTATGAATAATTAATTTAATTGATCTCCTTGCGATTATTGCAAATTGAAATATCCTCTTAATTTAAAATATGCTTTTTTAATATACTCTCACAGGCACAATTAATCGCCCACCTTTCTTTTAAGTGTCACTACATTCGTTTTTGTAAGTTTATACATTTCATGGTTATTATTTGCATTACTCTACCCCGTTTTTTTTTGTTTATCTTGTGGTTTTAACGCCACTTTAAAGATTAGTCTACAGCTAGCGTTATTTGGAATCGGTATATTGGAGACTTAAATTTATTGAAATTGTTATCCTTATCAGTTCAAATTGCTGAAGTCAACTTCTTAAGGTAAATGTTGTGCTTAAAAAAAATGTTGTGTTGCCTTTGGATGCTGCTGGAGCTGCTAGAGCTGTAGCTTTAACTGATGAGGGGTACAGCTAGCGGCGATTTGCACGAACACTTGGTGTACCGCGTACAACGATACGAGACGCCATCCGGCGGTATCGGGAGACTGTTCGTTACACACGGAGACCCGGTCAAGGGCGACATCAATGCACGTCAGCTCGGGACGATCGTTTTATTGTCAGTAATGTGTTACGAGATCGCTTTCATACAGCAGTTGAGGTCCGTAATCGTCTGTTTGAAGTCAGATATGTCAGTGTAAGTGAAATAACAGTAAGAAGACGGTTGGCTGAGAGAGATTTGACAGCATTTCGTCCAGCCCGCGCTCCAAAACTCCTCAGATCGCACAGAACAGCCAGATTACGTATCGCGCGTGATCATGCCAACTGGTCAAAGCAGGAATGGAAAAATGTTTAGTTCTCAGATGAAAGCAAAATTGCTTTAAGAGGTCCTGATGGACGCCATCGTGTGTATAGACGACCCAAACGAGTGGTTTGCTCAGTGTGAAATAGTGGAAACCGTGGGATATCAAGGAGGCTAAATTATGGTATGGGGAGTCATCAGTTACGAGGCTCGTACCAACTTCGTTATCTTTGAAAGAGGTGCTGTAAATGCTCACAGGTACGTCAAAGAGGTTCTGCAAGAACATGTCATTTCTTTTGCCCCTTTTATTGGCCAGAATTTTCTTTTGATGCATAATAATGCTAGAGCCCATGTTGCCCGGAGTGTTACTGAATACCTGAATGAGGTCGGAATTCAAACATTGCCATGGCCCGCACGCAGTCCCGACCTCAACCCAATAGAACACATATAGGACAACCTCAAAAGACGCATTAGAGATAGGATACCAGCACCTGCCACCATACGAGAGTTGAAAGCAGCTGCAGTAGAGGCAACACTCCTCAATTTAATATCCAGGATATTATGGATGGTCTACCAAACCGGCTGCAAGAAGTCATTTGAGCCAGGGGAGGCAACACCCATTATTAAATTGGAAACATTTTTCATCAAAAATTGTTTTTATTTTCAATACAGTTTTTTGTAAAAAAAAAAAACACTTAATTTCCGTTTATTCAATTTTTCCTAAAAATTTCTAAATATTTTCATTACATTTTATCATTTGTTGTTTTGTTTAATGTACTCCTAAAACACAAAAACAACAATAAAGTTTATTTCAGCAATTTTTGGAAATTTAAAAATATGGGGTGGGCGGTTAATTGTGCCTGTGAGTATACAATTTTGAATCGCATTACACTTAAACGAATAATACGAGGGATATAGTTCTGTTCTAGGGACACCTCCGATTCGGACCAATTTTTTTTTTACATCTTTACCAACATTAATGATTAAAAACCCCAAAGGGATTTTGGTGCAAACGCCCCTGAAAATTTTTACGAGGGTTTGAAGTTTTAGCTTTTTAAGGCAGTGTTTCATGATAAATCGACTAAACCTCACTTTTTTACACAGGAATATTGACCCAAAGTTACTTCTACCACTTCTACAACGGCTTCAGCGCTGTGGGAAGTGCAGCCCCTTCGCCCTTGCGTAGCGAATCATAGGCACCCGTGCGAGCCGTTGAGGCTCAGGCTATAATAAGTCGAAGCTGAGATGGCGACTGGCTATGGCGGGCGGAGGCTCCTCTCCCTCCGCGCCTACGGCTTTACAAAAACACTAGGAGTAGGGCAGACAAGACTACGTGGAGTCGGGGCGTGCTGATTAAATTTTAGTACAGATTCGATCAGATCAGATATCTTATCTATAAAGTCAGGTTGCCTTCGCTCCCGCCACAACCTTTTAACCTATTACAACTGAAAGTATTTCTGAGTGTTCAAGTATATCTGGGCAGTTTTAAACAATTCCGAAATAAAACACAGTATATTATAATAGTAGTAAGTAACTTTGGGTCAATATTTCTGTGTAAAAAAGTGAGGTTTAGTCGATTTATCATGAAACACTGCCTTAAAAATCTAAAACTTCAAACCCTCGTAAATAAATTCAGGGGTATTTGCGACAAAAATCCCTTTGGGCTTTTTCATCATTTATGTTGATAAGCATGTAAAAAAAGTTTTGGTCCAAGTCGGAGGTGTCCCTAGAACGGAACTCTACCCCTTAACTTTTTCAGGACCACCGACTCCTTTAGAACAAAAGAAATTCCCACAGTAGCCACGCCATGCAGGCGGGTTGGCAGCTGCAGTTTTATTATTTTTTTAATTTCCTCTGTCGCCTTTGAGGATACCCGCGGAAACGGAATGATACGGGGTAATGGGTTCTCTAACGCCGCCTCTAAACAGCAATTGTCCCATATTATCTGAACCTAATTTATCCGTTTATTTATTTAAATCATTAATAAATAAATAAAACGACAACCAAATCTAGTCTAAACTAAAATAAAATAACAATACGTACATCTAATGCAACACAAAAAGGTTATTAACGCAATAACAATAAGAGCTCAACACAGTGGTAGAGCGACGCGGCAGCTTTTGCTGTCGCACGGATGGGCCGGCTCGAACCGGGGTAGTACCACGACCTCACAGAAAACCAGCGTGAAGTAGAGGTTTACCTCTGCGTTTCGCTTGGTGAGTGCAGGTGGCCGGAGGCCCTTTTTACTGGAAATGAGGCATTCCATCTTAGTCCTCACGGGTGACAACGCATCTACATTTTGATTTGTAATAGAGGATAGATGTAGATGTCTATGGGCCGCAGCAACCACTTACCATCAGGTTGGACTGTGTGCTCGTTTGTTACCCTTATCCTATAAAAAAAAAGAGAATTTACATAGCTATTAAAATATTTGAATTATTTGTATACTATAATAATTATATAAACATTTTTTTAATATTGCAAATATTTACATAGGTATTTTTAAAATATTTTGTTGTCGTCCCTCTTGACAGCCTCAACGCCTACCATTTGTCTCAGTATCCGCTACCACTCCAGCGCCCACTAGGAGCGGTATCGATACCGTAGGAAATCTATTTTCTAGACCAGGCTTTCCTAACCTGGAGTCCGCTTACCAATCATAAAGGCTCCACAATCATATTAAAAATAAAAGTAATGATAGAGGCGTGGTTGGGCGATATGTTGCGTTGTCGTTGTTAGGGGTCCGTGACGATAATAGTAGAATCTCATAGAGATCCGATGTTGAAAAAGTTTGGAAAAGGCTGTTTGAGACCGTAAAAACTCCTTAAATTTTGAATGTAAGCATTAGATCTAAACGTGTGGAGTGAATAATGCTTATAACTCCTAAAAAACCTTCCAGTTTGAGACATTCAGAGCATACTGGCTAGCAGTGTATAAAGAAGTGGAGTATTTAGATGACAGACTTTTTCATTTGATTTGATCACAAACAGAGAATGATAAAAGATGACTAATGCTACATTAAAGTTTCTGTCAAAAATACGCATTTACGGTTTAGTTTTCCCATTCCATTATATTGCACCGGACACTAATTCCGTTTCAAACAAACTAGACAATTCTGAAAACACCAGACTATGCTTTAATTTTCACTTAAAATAATAAAAAAAGATACATAATTTATAAAGACTGCTAAACAAACCTGTAATACTCGTATTAAAATCTATTGAAGGTTTAACAACGCAGTATCGCAAAACAATACATAACATTAATTTTTGTACATCATTTCCATTGGATATTAATACCTATCTATTTGTTTAATTATGATTATTTTAATTTATAATAAGCTATGAACCAAGCATAAAAGTTTTATAATATTTTGACATTAGATCAGAATCTTTTGAGATAATTAATTAAAACAAACCGCGAAGCGCGCGTGCCACAGAACATCGCAACCGACCGAAGCGGTATTTTTAACATTCCCGACCAACTCAAGGTTGCCTGAGATAGTCGCTTATTCATTGGTATATGACCCAATTTACCATAATATCTTATAAATAGATTTCGTTCGTTCGATTTTCTGAAGCTTTCAAACTTTTATTAGCCGTAACTGTTCGACCAAGTCGAATATGTAGGTAGTTTGGTAGTATTTTAGTTTACATGTTGTATTTTATGGTATCCATACGTTGAATTTACAGTTCCAAGTTCGCGGTGCGATTGTAAACTATTTCTAAATGTACCACTATCAGGGACTTCTGTAGTAATTTAATACAATTTATGGTTGCTTAAATTACCCGCAAGTCTTTGATTCAAAAATTGCTGGCGTGGGTGCTAGATAACAACTTTTTAACCACCCTAATTTAAATATAAAAGAATTGTTCTATTACACAAATGAAACAGCTTAGAGCGTTGTTATGTTTGTGGCACACGAAATGCCCTGTACCCTTTGATTATACCATACATCACCTTCACCTCTGCTGTCTGCAGACAATTTCAGATCTCTGGAACAAATCAAAGCAATTTTAGCATACATTTGTAATTGTTCCGTTGTAAGAAAGGCGTAAAAATTTTCGTTTTCTTTTTATTACAATTAACTTATTGATATTTCACAAATTAGGTCGTGAATATGTAAATCTTTCAGAAAATTCTTGTTCTTAGGCTTGTTAGTTTAGAAAAGGCGTCTTTTAATAGTTTATTGATGTTAACGTGAAAATTGTATTATGACTAGGTACGTGCGCACGGAACTGCTCCACATTCGAGTGGGGCAAATCAATTTGACTTAGTGTAAAAAACTTTATTTGTAGATACGTCTTGTATTTTTAGTAGATAACTATTGGTTATTGATAACTTACATTCTATTTTACTACGAAATAAAATAATTCTTATAAGAAGACCGCAGGCAACAAAGATGGCATATAAAATACTGATTAATTAAAACTTTAAATTTGACTTCGCTTATCATAATATATCGATTCACTAGGTACGGGGCTAAATCAATAAACGGCAAAAAGAATGTTCACAAAAGCTATTAAACCTGAAATTTGTGTCATAATATTGTAACCAGATGGCACACATAACATCATGTACTAATTTTAAAATTAAATTTTTCAATGTGCAACCCATTTTAACCTCTCTACTATATTCTATTTATGAACATATTTAGGACAAGAATCCTACTGAATGCCTAACATACCAACGCATAACTCAAACCGCTGTATCTAGAAAGTTTTACGAAGAAGCTCCATATAGGGTTATTTTTCAAAGAGTCGCCAAATTTTAAACTTACATTCAAATATATAAATAATGATATACCGTTATTTCAGTTTTTGAAAATACGAGTGAATATATATACTTTTATTTGAAACTATCCCAAATTGAATGTGATTTATGGGCAACAACGTTTTTGCCTACGATCGACCCTTACGAATGTGTGCGTGCGCAGCAAAATAAGTTCAAATAATGCATTACTATAAAAAATATTTCAAACATTAATAATGTTTGAAATATTTTTTATAAATTTTTCTTCACCACTGGCCTATTACTTATTCTGAACCTTCTCTGCAAATTAGGTCGGTTATAGCAAAATAACCCTGTATATGGCAAACACTGAGACTGGATTTAAATTATTACAAACCGTACCTAAAAATGCGTGTAAAACACCAAAATGTAAAGATCAAATAAATCTTAACGCGTATTTGAGGTTTCTTAAAAATTGACTTTTCATATCCTTGTAGATAAGGTACTATGAAATTACACGCGGATTAGTTCGCGAGCAATAGCTTGTGAGTAAAGCAGGAATTATACGGAACCTTTTTTTTCAGCTAGTCGACAGATATCAATTACGGAGTTTACAGTACCTCATGCGGTGCAAGCCGGGGAAGACGCGGAGCTACAATGTCGATATGATTTGAATCCTGGCGAGTCGGATAAGGGACTCTACGTGAAATGGTGGTGGACACCACTGAACGCCACCAGCGACCAGATGCATCAGATTTATCAAAGGATAATCGGGCTTGAACCTGTGACAATTCACAGTACCATTAATTTAGGTATTTATCACAGATTACACATACATCCGTATCTCGTATCACTATACACGGTATACTATGTACATAATATATATTTTATTTTATAAATATTTTATCATATTGGAATATTTATAATAAGACTGCTGTAGCTCAGGAGCTAAGCGCTCGCTGTAAATTTCACAATACGTGAGCAATCCGGGTTCGATCCCCACCGGAACCAATTAAAATGTTAATTACAATTTTAAGTGTAGATTTACCACGTGCTCGTTGGTGAAGGAAACATCGTGAGGAAGCGTGCATGTCTGAGCAATAAAAAAAATATTTCGAAGGCATATGAAGTTTGCCAACAGGCATTGGGGCAGCGCGACATTTCCTTGCCCTAAAACCCTCTCAGAAATGAGAGGAGGCCTATGCCCAGCTGTGGGACGTATATAGTCTGAATTTATTTATTTTATTTAACATTATATATTTTAGTTACAGCCAATATTTATTCGTTAAGGATATATAAGTACATATTTATATAATAAAAAATAAATAGCTACAAATATGAATTCTTTTACGTGGTAGTGCCGCTCTGTAGCTATACTACAGCACGAACGGGTCGTCTCGACCGACCCCGCTCTCACAGAATAACAGTGTGAAACAGCAGAATAATGCTGCTGTGTTTTGTACGGTGAATGTAGGGGAACCTGAGACGCTTTTTAATGGTAACGAGGCATTCCATCTTAGTTCTCAGGAGTGACAACGCATCTGCATTTTGAGTCTTAATCGAAGATGCATGTAGAAGTCTATAGGTCGCAGCATCCACTTACCATCAGGTGGACTATGTGCTGCTCATTTTTTTATGTATTTGATTTTGAATTCAAATAACAATATGTAAAGTGCACTTGCAACTTTTATCTATGTTTGTATCGATAAGTCCTGAAAACTTTAAAACAAGAGTATACAACTAGTGCATGTTGCCAGTAATGACATTTGGATATCTCAAGGTGGCTCAGTGATCTAAGATTTGTTGACAGAAAAGTGTTAATGTTTTGGTTACATTGGAATCAGAAAGCTAAAATAAGAACCTTATACAAATGCCAACACAAGAGACATTATAAAATAATCTGTATCTTTGGCTTATACTAAATGAGCAAATTTTCTTAAACTTTTGTAACATAGATAATAAATTGTTTTTTTTTTTCAGAATTATTAGAAAACGATGGTATTCGGTTAGTGAATGTCACACCAGCGGACTCTGGGACCTATGAATGTGAAGTTTCTAATATCGATGAGGTACGAGAACATCAGGAGTTACTAGTTTATTGTAAGTGTAAAAAAGCACAATTAATTAAATATACTTATTTTAATGTAAGTAACGATTCAAGAGCATGTCTCATCCGACATTATTGCGATGATATCCCGATCATCTGAAATGATTCTCTAGCACCTTAAAAACGACAAGGTTCCGTTCCTGAAAGCGGGTGGAAAACCTCAGTGGTTAAAAAGTCTTTCAAAAGCTCATTAATTCCACCTTTCATCGTAGCCCAACTCTAAAAGTGTGGAGCAGAAGTGCGATGATCTTGTTTTTCAAGAAAGACGGAAACGCCCCAATAAAGAAATACAGACTGATTTTCCTTCTGAGTCGCATCGACCAATCTAAGAGACTGTGGGAGGTGGACTTCATTCATCTGATAACCAGATGAGACCTATTCTGTATGGAATTTTATTTATTTATAAACACGCATATGATAGCTTGCCTTTCGAAAAGTGTTCAGGGCTATTTTTAATTAAATTAATTTTAATAATTTTTTTTCATAACCTTCACACTTTTGATAACCGAACATAAACAGATAATTTTTAGGGTTCCTTAAAAAAATGATTCCTTACTTTCCTGATGGGCTCCAATGAATTAAAAAGCAATTATTGTAAGTAGACCAAAAGCAAAACTATTCCAGCATTATTCCCATGTTATCCAATACAAATAGCACCTTAAAACAGCAAAGTGACTGATGAGGTCGAAATCACAGCGGACAGCCGACCTTATGAAGTCAAGTTCAAACTTTTTGATGTCGTCTTACATGGCGATGCGACTAAGTTTTAAGCCTTCTTAGTCGCATCGCCGTGGTTGACGGTGACGGTCAAAAGGTGACGGTGCTCAATTTGTATGTTTTTTTACGTGTGTTACCTCATAACTTTTTACTGGGTGAACCGATTTCGATGGTTCTTTTTTATTTAAAGCTGGTGCTTCACATGTGGTCCCATATCAATTTGATCAAGGTCTGACCAATAGTTTTTGAGTTATTCTTAATAATTTATTCGGTTGTACAAAGTGTTTAATTTTTAATTATTATTCACTTTCGAGTCACGTTCACTTGTTCTTTTCGAAACCTACTAAAAATCGTCTCATACACGCACCTTTTTACTACTAAAACAAACACGTTGCCGAAAAGACCCTGGCACTCTATAGATTTTAAAGATGGAGTTTAAACTCTACTAACGTGGCTGGCCTAAAGTAGACGATCTCAATGTAGGCGGTGGACGGGTGGACTACTGGGATAGCTTTGTTCCTTACCCTATGCAGCCGTGGTTGATTTGAGGGGTAATAAGTGTTAGAATGACGATTCATTACTCGCCATATACTCTACTAATTTAGAACCACCGGTATTATCTTAAAACAGCCGGTGGGTTTGATCAGTGACCAACGCAATCGAGACGTTCATTTCACTGATAGTTCATATAACTCGCTGAGCAACTTTGAGTACAAAGAAGCTGAAAGTTGCTCAGCAAGTTATGAAAATAACTACGTTTAGGTTTAATGAGGATTACCACCGAAAAACCAGAGGTTACAACCTATATATGTGTCACGGTTTGGCACAGGCCTCCTCGCATTTCTGAAAATCTAGAGCAACTGACAAACTGCTCTCACTAGACAGAGTGACCAGCAAAATGAACTATGCCAGTGACTTAAAATAATACTTTGTAACAATTTATATAGGAGGTAATTAGCAGTGAATCTGTGTATATAGGGATTGATGCTTAAATATGTTAACTATGATTTAGATATTTTAATTTTTAAGTTAATAATCTGACATTTAAAATTCACTTGCATATAAGAGAACTTTAAATGTCTTTGAACTGGGACTGCGTCAGACTCGTGGACTTACTGCGCCATAGCCCTCTTAGAAATAACAGGAGGATTGTGCCCAGCAGTGGGACATATATAAGTTCTCTCTTCACTTCTCTTCTACGCAACTCCAAGATAATAGTTGACGACTGGTGCATAGGTATTTGGAGACTGGTTTGTTAGTTCCACAAATAGAAGTTGTTATTGTTGTTCTGCGACCAACGTCGTTACGGTTGCTACAACCGATAAAAGAAGCTCTATTGCACGCAATGCTAGCAACTGACTTTGTCGTACAACGTTATAGTCTATAGTATACGCATTTGGTACGTAATTGTTTAACAAAAATAATTTCAGCCATAGGCACTGGTCCGCAACTTAATATCTCCATGGCATCAGACGGACCGGAAGTGAACGAAGAAACAAACGACGATGAGGAAGAGCTAATAGTCACATGCGAGGCTAGTGACGTCGCCCCTTATCCAGAGCTATCAATTACTGTGGATGGGTAAAATATTTTTTTGTCATTTACTTTTGTTTTGGCATTAATTATGGAAGATATGCAATGTTTTGTATATCAACAATTTCCTTTGTAAGTGAAAAGAACTCGTGTTGAGTTTCAATAATGCATAATTATATAAGAAAATGCTAACTATACTAAGCCTGTAAATTGACTTAAATATTGTTTTATATATTATATATAATATTTAAAGAAACACCTAAAAAATAAAACCAGCTATATCCGTGTCAATTGAGACAAAACTAACATTGTTCAAACAAAGTGGTAGAGCCATGCTGCACCTATATTAGTAGTATAGTTGTAGCACTAATAGGTCAGTTCAACCGGGGAAGGACCACATTCTTACAGAATACCAGCGGAAAATAGCTACTTAACGCTGCTGTGTTTCGTATGGTGAGTGTAAAGAACCGAAGACCCTTCTTACTGGAAACGAGGCATTCCATCTTAGTCTTCACGGGTGACAACGCATCTGCATTTTGATTCATAATCGAGGATAGATGTAGATGATGGGCCATAGCAGCCACTTACCATCAGGTGGACTGTGTGCTCGTTTGTCACTCTTATGTTATGATATATGCTATAATTAAAATAAATTCAGTTTCTGAAGTCGGTGTAAAGTCATAGTGTAGGTATTAGAAAAATTAAAGCCCCGTCTTCAGAATGTGAAATTATTAGTCTTGGACGTTGGCTTATCCTTTTTTTTTTTAAAGTAATTTTTTTACCCTTTTGAGTGGACTAAGGAATATCACAATCTCAATGTCTCCTTAATAGTTAAATTAAAAACTTCATCCCTGAGCGGAGGAACGCATTAGCGGCTGGTTGTCGTCGTTGCGGTAGGCCGCACTTCTATTTTTATATTAAACCGCATGATATCGACTCACTGACTTGCGGCCTGCCGTTAACAGCACCGGTTGAATGATGCGGCGCACCGCAGCCCCTCTACACACACGCCCGGCGCGGTTAGCCGTAAGCCAGGCATATTGATTCGCTTATAGAAAAATCGATCTCAGATTCGATTAAAATCGAACATACTAGAATCGATATAAATAAATAACTGCAGCAACTTCTTCGATGTTCAATATGAGGATTGCGGCGGATCGCAATAGAACCGGTACGATGCGGTTAGCCGGAATACGGCGTGCCGTATTCCGGCTAACCGCAGTATATACGGTCTGCCGCATCACGGCCCGTCACTATTGCGTTCTTGGCCTAAGGGTGATAAAATAGGTGTCACCCATTGGGGTGAAATTTTTCTCCAAAATTTATACGGGACCACCTTTGAAGTACAACCTGTTTAATAAAAAAATAATCTTCAAAATCGGTTCTTATAGTTTTCCGTTCACCAGATACGTGTTAGAGACAAGCTGCAGCTATATTAGTAGTATAGTTGTAGCACGAATGGGTCGGCTCGACCAGGGAAGGACCACGCTCTCACAGAATACCAGCGTAAAATAGCAGCTTAATGCTGCTGTGTATCGTATGGTGAGTGTAGAGAACCGGAGACCCTTTTTACTGGGAAAGAGGCATTCCAATTTAGTCCTCACGGGTGACAACGCATCTGCATTTTGATTCGCAAACGAGGAATAATGTAGATGTCTATGGGTCACAGCAACCACTTACCATCAGGTGGACTGTGTGCTCGTTTGTCATCCTATCCTATAAAAGAAAACATACCATAAAATAAAATAATAAAACAGGAAAGGTCGACTGAATGCTTTTTTGAAGACGGATAAAAAAGGAAATTAAAAATGATCACCTTGGAACTTTCATAACCAATCATTTTTCTAAAGTGATTTATCCACACTCAGTATAAAGTGTTATTTGTTTGTTTAGTTGTCTTCCCAGTATATCTCAAACATGCTCTAGCGGGTTAAGATCTGGCGAGTGAGCTGCTCATATCAAATCTTCGGTTTCGATTTCTAAGACACTCTTGAATTGATTGAAAACTATTCCTTCAGCAAGTGACCTAGCATTGCCTTGCGTTTAAAGTAAATTATTTCCAATGTATAAGGCAATGAGCATCATGATCTGTTCGAACCGTTTTCTACGACGTGTAGCTCTATACGAGCCTTCATATGCCTACCGAAACTATTATTGACCCTTCAGTATTAGGCTCGCTTCCAACATTGTTATTGGAGCAAATATTTCTCCGGATCGTCTCCATACTTTGGTCATTCCATCATCAAGACTATACCAGGACTTGTCAGTAAAGAGTAATCTTTTAAGTATCATCATCCCAGTTTTGAAGATATTCTGGCAGGCAAGTTTTAGTAATAACTGTCAAATGTCGAACATTTTTTTTATAGCATAGTGTGACAAACGAGCATACAGTCCACCTGATGGTAAGTGGTTACTGTGACCCATAGACATCTACATCTATCCTCAATAAAGACTCAAGATGCAGATGTGTTGTCACCCGTGAGGACTAAGATGGAATGCCTCTTTGCCAGTAAAAAGGGTCTCCGGTTCTCTACACTCACCATACGAAACACAGCAGCATTAAGCTGCTATTTTACGCTGGTTTTCTGTGAACTTCCTGCAGCTTAGTGCTTACTTTAGAAGAAGTTGAAGTATGATTTCTTAGCACACTGCTTATACCTACAACCAATCTGTCCTCTCTTACTGTTGTTACTTTTTTGCGACCTTATCGAGTCTTTCATTTAACATTAGAAAAAAATTACAGAATTGGAATTTCGAAATGTTTGAGCTACTTGATTGATTGTAGTTAAATGTAACCATTTTCGATTAAAGTTAACAGCTCTCGGGACTTGAACTACCGTGAGTAATCCGGCATTATCACGTAATCAAGTGATCGTTAGTGTTTACTAAACAAGACAACAATGGATTATAACCGTAATAATCTTTATTTATTAATTACTAAATAAATACTTTAAGGATGATCCCATATAAATTTAAAGGAAATATTGTCACGTTGGATAGACAAGGTTCTAAGTGACGAAAGGAACAAAAGGCACAATTAGAACATCAAGATTTAATGACTTTCTTTTCTGTTTTAGATGACTTCAATATTAAATTAAAAATTTCACTTAGTTAAATTAAAGATGTCACTTAGACGTAACGTAAGGCTAATAAAACGAGCCCTTGAATTTACACAGATCCTATCTGTTGTATATTTCTAGTATGCATGCTAGAATATAACATAAATGCAACAAAGTTCTATCTTAAGATAACCTTGTTGCGAAATGCGTTTAGGGCAGTATTGTAATGAAAAATATGTGTGAATAATATACAATATATGATTACACTGACACTTCAAATAAAAGAAGTTGTGATTAAATGTTTTAGACTAATAAACTGTGTGATATATATACAGTTTCAAATAGAGCTTCAAAGTACTTAAGATCAATCTTGAGAATTACATCATGGCTTGAATTTAAAGTGTCAAATAATAATGTCGACCAGACCGAATTTCGATCACGGTGGCCAGACTCAACGGAGACTAGCCATCGGCGCAGGACAGTATTATAGTGCCCAAGTGTATACACAAGCACAGGTGCACTCTCTATTTCCTCACTCTCATAGTCCGATCGGACGGTAAACCGACACGACCGGAGAGAGATCAGGCGCAGGACCAACGGTTTACGTGCTTTCCGACGCACGGGGGTGAGACACCGCCAACTTCCTGACACTGGGCAGCTACTGAGAATTTCTTGATGGAAAACTCAATAACTGATTTAAGAAATGTCAAATCATGTAGAATTAAGCAAATTTTTATCTTCTGGTGTTTGATAAGACCCTGTCATTCAGTCATATAATGACTTGTCTTATAAAATGATATGTCATATGATATGTAGCACAGTTTCAGAGAGTTTGTAGATTTGCTTTGTAGATACATAGGTATTCAAGTTTTTTGCAACAATTTGCGTAAAAAAAGAGTTTGGTAGTAACTATACCAAAAGGATTTTTAGAGTTGAAATTATTTAACAACTTCATAATTAAGTGAAACCGATAAGTAGAATTTTGCAGTTGTTAATACCATGTCTATGTGGGAGTAAACACTAAAATACGGAATCCTCGGCATCGACATATCAAGTGGCATACAGTTTCGTGGTCACTTGGACGAGGAGGCCAAATTGGCCTCTAAAAAGCTTGGCGTGCTCAGCAGAGCGGGACAGTATTTCATGCCGGCACACCGCCTGCAACTTTACAAGACGCAGGTTCGGCCTCACATGGTAAACTGTTCCCATCGCTGGGCTGGGGTTTCCCAGTGCCAGCTCCTTTCACTTGACCGCATCCAGCGCAGAGCGGCTCGAATCGTCGACGATCGAGTCCTTTCCGATCGGCTCGAATCACTGACGCTGCGAAGAGATGTTGAATTTCTTTGTATTTTCCTGCGCATTTACCACCGGGAGTGCTCTGAGGAATTGTTCGGATTAATCCCAGTCGCCAAAAAGCAATGGTAGACTTTCATACATAAAATTAGTTGAGAAGTAATGGTAGCGTCTATGTATCAAAAATATATTAAAATGTTAAGCATCAGTCCCTAAATAACTCTGTTAAAGAATTTTGTCCCATAGAAGGCGCGAAGAAAAGATATTTAGATTTGAACCATTTTAGGTTATGCCTTATGTCACTTGCAAAAAGTCATGCTTCCTGTGGTTGTTTGATGTTAGCTTAATACATTCTTAACATAATGTACCTACCTACATAATTGAGAGTTTTTTAGATTATTGTATCTCTATTATATATTTGCATATTATAAATGTATATTTCAGGCATGGCTCCAGGGCCTATGTGTCATAGCGACGTTCTCAGAAGGGCTAGAACCCAGAGCCGTAAAGCCAGTAAAAAAAACAGTGACATTTTGTTTTAGCTAGTGTTGCCATAACATTAAATGGAATTGTTACATAGTACTATGATTGAGATAATGTATTATTGTAGGAAGTTCTTTATAAGATACTTATTTTCAACCATATCATTATCACTTTTATTTTTATTATTACTGATAGTATAGTTATTACTAATAATAACTTAATTTAAAAATATTTTGTGTTTGTGTGTTGTGTTAGTAGTCTTATCAAGTGTATACGAAAATAGTATGAATATAGTAAATGACAACACTTGAATAGCGTAATATGATTTAAGTCATTTGATATTCTCAAAAATGTTTGTTTTTTTCTGTGGCTTTAATTAAAATACATTTTTATTTGAAAAATCATAGAAAAATCATAAAACTCATTTTATATATAACTTATTTCTAGACGCAATAATTTTTGTCAACTATTTTTCTGCCATTGTTCTTTCACTAACGCACGTCGCAATATACCATCCACACCATCTGGATGCTTGGCGGTCGACCACTGTACGTTTCACTAGGAGTTGTCTTCCGCGTACGACCTTTCTGTGGAATAGCTTACCTCCGGCAATTTTTCCTGACCCATACGACTTAGGGACTTTCAAGAAAACAGCTCCTCCTTTTTAACAGGCCGGCAACGCACCTGCAATTCCCTTGGTGTTGCAGTTGTTCATGGGCGGCGGTAGTCACTTACCATCAGGTCAGCCGTATGCTCGTTTGCCCCCTCTCCTATAAAAAAATACCTGAACTCCTGAATACCTAGGAGTAGAATAGATCATTATTATTATAATGCTTGTATATTAAAATGTACTCGCACGTCATTGCATTGCAAACACAACAACGAACAACACAAAATAATTAAGGTTCCCATAAAATTGTCGGATAGAACCTTGTTATCATATCACAAAATGTAATTTTTAAGATATAAAATTAAAAGGCAACATAGTCATGCTGCCTTTTAATTTTCTCCGGCATTATCTACTTTTTAAAAGAGTTTTTTTTATACAAATAGAACCAACATCCTTAAGTATTTTCTAGATAGCTCAAAAAAAATGATTTTGCGATATGTGCAGATTAGTGTTGCCCAAATGCAAGAACAAGACGAGACTTAGCAAGTCTTGGTCTTGGTCTTGCGCCAATACACCTGGTCTTGGTCTTGGTATTGCGCTCCCAGTCTTGGTCTTGGTCTTGGTCTTGCAGCAAGAGTCTCGCAAGTCTCTCAATGATCTATTAGCCTATTACTATTTATTAAACGTTACTTTAGATCTTAGAACAACTTAACAGAGTAGGTACATATTGAGCTTGAATTAACATAGCCATAGTAAAGACCAACCATATTAATAAATGTCTAAACATTTAATGAGAAATTCGAAAAATCAACTGACACCGGGTGGGGTTTGATACCCACGACCTAAGCGATCCGTGCCGATGCTCTAACCAACTGAGCTATCTACCGTGTCCCACGGCCACGGGCGTCATAAACGTTTACAATTATTATTTTAATATTATTATTTTTCTTAATAAGCTTACATGTGCTAAAACATGGTTAAACATACATATTAAAAAAAAATTAATGGCAATAACTACACTGTATTTTAAATAACATTATCTCTCTAGAAAGAGATTGACAATATACCATTTATTTAAATAAAAAATAAAATACGATGCAAATTAAATTACTTCACAGCATGTACACAACAGCTTTGACATTACGGTTACTTTATATTTATTCTTTTGACAAAGCATTAATACAAAGTAACTTAACACTTAACCTATTTCTATGTTTTCTAATTACTAATAATGCTTTAGAAAATAATCTCTCAGCAGGTACTGAAGTTGCAGATATTAAAAGAAAATCACGGGCCATCTTCGATAAAACCGGATATTTTGTCTCATGCGTCCTCCAACAGTCTAAAATGTCTTCCGAGATGACGGCTCTGGGTTTACCTAGGTACCCCTCCAACTCCTTAATAACTAAGCCTTGATGACAAGATCCAGATAAATTTTTACACATTTCAAGTGTTTTAAAAGTGCTATGGTGTCAACCATATTTATCAAATGTGTGACGACATATTCGAGCACTTTGTGTTTTAAAAACACACACTTGCAAAAGTCGAGATTTGCAGTGAACTTACTGAACATGTTTATCTTTTAGGTAATAATAATAACAATAATAGTAAGTAATTATTATAAATCCATATAGTTAATTTTATAATAATTACTTACTAGAATAAATTATTATGATACCTACCTATTATCTAATTACAAGATTTCTTGCGAGATCAGGATAATGTATTCGTGTCCATTATGAGCACCTGGAAACTTATTTTATTCTTTGAAACATGTACTCTGTGGCGGCAATCAAACAGTGTCAAATGTAGTGCGTGTGGCGCAGCGGCGACGATTGTATGCGATATCAATAGTAGCCGCCGGCACGTGTATCTTGACCTTGTACTTTCGAATAGCTGCACAATTTCTTTGACAGGTCAGTATCCGACCTTTGATGACGCCGACAACAAGACGCCGCGCACCATCAAAGTGCCGATGGTCAAAACTAGGGATGCACTCTTTTTTCTTTTAATGGATATTTTCATTCGCTATGTATATTTATGGTATTGTTCGTAATGCGCATAAGTCCAATTTTCCAATTTTTTTTTCATTATATTTTTTGCGTCTCATAGAGTCCCTAAGCGTATACCCGAACTCCTATACTCCCTGAAACGACACTTAGTCCTAACTGCAAGACGCAAGAGTCTCGCAAGCTAAGTCTTGTTCTTGCGCAAATCTTGCACGGTCAGTCTTGGTCTTGCTAAAAAGAGGCGGTCTTGCTCTTGGTCTTGGTCTTGCAAAAATGCAAGAACAAGACCAAGACTGCAAGACCAAGACCGATTTTGGGCAACACTAGTGCAGATAAAACCTTGTTTACCCAACGTGACGATATTTCATCCCTAAGAGAAACATTTTAATGACAAAATAGGGGATGAACATTTAATGTTACTATGAAGACGATAATCTAGTTATTATCCTAAACATATGAGTGGTAACGTTGAAATTATTTTATTATTAGTTTTTTTTAAGTCGGCTCTTACTTTAAATTAAAAGTTTATTTCTTACGTTCTCTTAAATTTGTACGTGCATGAGTTGAAATCTTTCCTATAGGCTGATTTTTAATTTTATGAACTGTCTATCTTTTAACAGGAATATAGCCAACACATCAGAAACTGTAAATGGCCCTATTGAAGGACTGTACGATATATTTGCGAATGCAACTGTTTCTAAGAAATTAGCTGACGGTGCAGAAATACGCTGTGAACTTTTCTTTAAAAATGATAATATCTCGCATCCTGCTTATGTAGACATCGAGACATTCAGTACATCAGGTATGAATTAGAAGCTGCTCTTCATTTATATATTACAGATATTTTTAAGAAAAAGATTTAAATAATTTTATTGAATCGTTCATAAATATTATTAATTAATTAGTATATTTGCTAAATAATTTAAGAGGTAGAATAATAAGAAACTCATTGTTCTTAAAGTCAATGACCGTTTCAGTTTTTTAATAATATTATTTTTAGTAGTTATTAAGAAAGAAAACAAATAGATTCATAATTTTATGTAACGCAGTAAAAAAATTAATTGTACGATAAATAGTCAAAATTTTATCAATTTAAAGAAATGTCTAACATTGCATGACGCTGTAACTGCATTTTGATGTTCGCTGAACAATAATGACACGTGCCACTTATTTTAATTTCTTTTAGCTATTAAACTAATTTTCCACATTTATTTTAATGACAAAAGAAAAGAATTAAATACATAAAAACGCATAACTTTTTTATTGCACTCGTATATGTACAACAAACTATATATATTTACTAGTTTAATATCTAAATAAAACAACTTTTAAATTAGAGATTTCTGAGTGAAGGTATTTATTACATTGAATCTTTGCTTTTTCTCAAATATTATTTGTAAGAAAATTACAGTCGTTATTATTAAATAATGCCTTTTTAATGATTTTAAAATTAAAGCTTGCTAACAAAATTTACTAGTTTTTGTTTAAGCTTTTGAGTGGAACATAATTGTTTTAACTTTACAATAAGTAAAATGTTACTGGTTATGGTTTATTAGTTTGGTATAAGGTAATTAGGTTATAATTGTGTGGCTACGTTTGCAAACTAACGAAGTGTTGGTTGTCGGTGGGGGCGCCAGGCGCCGAGGTATCCACTACAGAAGTGCCCGAGAACATCACTGCTCCTGATGTGGTCTTCGATACTTTACAAAATCTAAGTAAGTGTCACATTAATCTAAATATCCCCCTAGCATCAAACCCTTATGTATAGCGCTTTTAGCCCCTTTTGAAGACTGTTTGTTAAATAATTTTCCAATTGTCTTTCTTAATTTTGTCTGCCATGAAGAATAAATTATTCACATAAAAATGAATATTGCCATCCGATAAAGACGACATGATTTATTATCTTAATTCAGTGTAATCTCGATAAATGGAATATTACGGGTAACTGAGTAATTATGTTTACTTTATAATCTATTATTACCAATCAAAAATGTATTCTCTTTACCTGTTTAGCAGATATCCAGATATAAAATGTTGTCTTATTGACAAAATCCCACAAAGAGAAACTGAAACAGAACTTATACAGAAGTTACTAATAACTACCAATCAATAATACCTACTGAAAAGTAGATTAGGGAATAGGGATAAACATAGAAATGATTAATATAGATAGTTATGAGCACAACTTTAGATAAAGGATACTCACTAAAGACCTACAGATACTCACGTATTGGTAGCTTGCTGTAGTTGCACTTACAGTAATCTATGGTTGCACTGTTGGGAAGTGTACACACATCAAAAAAAGTTTGCGATCAGTTTGAAAAATCGAAATATTTTTTGTTACGGTAGACTGAATTATAATTCTTTTTAGATTATTTACTAAAAAATATAGAATTAGAATATAAAACAATAAAACAAATTCAATTGTTTTTTCTATATAAAGAGAAATTCAATTCAAGTTTACGCTCGTTCAAAAATCTGGCTTAGTCAATTTTAATGGATTTAAAATATTTTTTCGAGGTAAGTTGTGATTTAAAAAATGCCAAGAGGATTATCAGAAGTTTTACGAGCCATAATTGTAACTTTGAGGGAAGAAGGATATTCCGCAAGAGAAATAGCACGTAGAGTTGCTGTATTCTAATCCTATGTCGTGGCCACGTTGCAGAGGTACCACGGCATGGATAATTCAGCTGACTGACGCCGCAGTGTTCGCCCGACTGTTCCGACTGCTGCTCTGAAGCGCTATATCAGATTGCTGGCAGCACGTGACCCGACAATCAACGCCACTACAATAAAATCAGAAGTGCGGGCCGCCTCTGGACTTGAAGTTAGTACTCAGACTATTCGGAATTGCTTACACCAGGCTGGCCTACCAGCACGGAGGTCTTGGTGAGCACCTCTGAATTCACGGCAACGTCAGCGACAGTGACAGACAGACAGAGTTGCAGTGGGCTAGGCTCCGGAAAATGAAGAAGATAAACATTTGACTAAACTGTCTCTTCGTTAACGACTCGCGAATCAGTACTCATCTGACATGTCCATGTCTGGAGAAGACCTGGAGACTCTGAAAGGCAAATAACTGCCACTGGAACCGTTTAGTACGGCGGGAAATCGGTGTCCTTTTGGTGTGGAATTGTGATTGGAGCTAGAACGCCTTTGATCCCGTATCGAGGCTCAATTACGCAGATAAGTACAAAACAATCGCTATTGATGGAATTGTCAGACCATTCCGAGTAAACCATGGGCACCAATTCGTACTGGTTGATGATAGTGCGCCCGCACATCGAGGTCAATGAGTAAATGCTGCTCTCCGAGAATACGACATCACAAGGTTAGACTGGCCTGCTGGCAGCCTGACTTAAACACAATAGAGTACGCGTAAGCTGCTCTTAAGCGAGTTGTTTAGAACCATCATCCACCTCCCCAGACAGTGCCAAAGATCAGGGAAGCCGCTATTCAAGAATGTGACAGGTTACCGCAAGAAATGCTGGATAACTGGATACTCAGCATGCTCAGGAGATTCTCCGCATGTGTTCGAGACAAGGAAGGAGTATTAAATAAAAACCTTTTTTTAATAAATCTTTGTATAAGTGTACACAATCTTTTTTCTTTCCATGAAATTTCTGTTACAATTACATTAGGATTGAATTACTCAATTTATTTTTTAATAAAGTAATAAATAATAAATACAATAGTAAAAATTAATAACAGTATATATCTATTTAAAAAAGATATAACGTAAACAATTTTTCTTGATAAAGATACATTTTAAAAATATATCAGCTTTTGCTAGAGATAACAAACTTTTTTTGATGTGTCTATACCTAATATGCGCGTAGTTGTCGAATCCCAAAACATAATCGCTTCGCGCTAACGACTATTGCTGCTAACTACTAACACGGAACACTAATACTTACCCTCTAAGACGTAGATGCACAGACCGCGGCCCGCCGGTCAAATACTTGTGGCCCGCCGACAGCAAAAATAATACTCTCGTACATTCCAAAAATATTGAATTATATTCCAGAATAAAACCAAAAAAATATGTTCGAAAAGTAATTTAAATCTCGCGCGCGCGCTCTTAAGTGCGCTTATCGGTGCGCCGTGCATGCGTCGGTAACAGCGGTCGGTAATGTTCGTGCTGATCTCGGTTAAATTCGTTTTCTTGAGAAACCGCCGCGGCCGGCGGCGCAGCGACGACGGCAGCGCGGTGGCGGCTTATCCACGGGTTATATTGCTAGAGCAAGCGAGATAGCAATAGTCCCGAATTTCCGATTGCTCGCGTAGGTAAATACACGAAGCTTCCAGAGTAGGTTTCGTGATTTCTCCAGACAGTTTTCAACTCTATACGCGCGGTATAAAAGCCACGCTAACCGCAGCGACCGACAGTTCGGTTTTACTGTTTGAGTTTGAGTTTTGAGTGAAGTGTCAATAGTTCTAGTGTAGATTTTAACTCGTCTAGCCGGTGTCATATATTTTGATCCACATTCAACGTAGATTTCCCGTCAAGTACCGTGTATAATTGTGTTGTGAAATCGTAAGTAAAACTCTGTTATTAATAAGTGTTTCCCTACCTATTTAATCAATTATTTTTGGTAATTTAAAAAAGGATGGGTAATTTAAGTAGGTACTGTAATTGTTTTTAGGTGCTGTGTTAATCCCAGCCAGGATTAGAAAGCAACATGGACAAGCCAGGACCTAGTAAAAAACGTAAGGTTAAAGATGAAAATCGGCAGTTATTTACGGCAAGAAATTTGGACTGAGAAATACTTTTTTGTATGGTCGCATAACAAAGTCGTTTGTTTAATTTGCAAGAATTCTGTTGAGATTGCAAAGGAATATAATGTAAAAAGGCACTATGAAACGCAGCATTCTACTTTTACCAAGTTTACAGGCGAATTAAGAAAGCAAAAAATGTTGTCTTTAAAACGGGAGCTTATTGGTCAGCAAGCTATGTTTACAAAACCCATTCAAGATTCAGAAACAGCTACAGAAGTTAGTTATGAAATTTCTCGAATGATAGCAAAGCGAAGTCGTCTCTTCAATGATGGGGATTTTGTAAAAGAATGCATAGAAATTGCCGCTAAGAAAATGTGTCCAGAAGCAGCAAAAAAGTTTGAGAAAATTCAACTGAATCGTATGACTATCCAAAGACGAATTATGTCTTTATCAGGTAATATTGCGGAACAATTAAATGAAAAAACTAAGATCATTGAATTTTTATCATTAGCACTCGACGAATCCACTGATATTAGTTCCACAGCTCAACTTCTGATATTCATACGAGGTGTTACTCAAGATTTTTAAGTCTTAGAAGAGTTATTAGGAATGTGTTCATTGAAAGGTCAAACCAGAGGAGTTGATATACTCAATGTACTTTTGGATGAGTGTTCAAAAACTGATTTGGACTTATCAAAATTATCGGGAGTTGCGACTGACGGTGCTCCTTCGATGATTGGTGTCAATTCTGAGCTAGTTACTTTGCTGAAAACGCATCTGCAAGAAAAAAACATAAACGCTGAAGATCTCATGCAGTTTCACTGCATTATACACCAAGAAGCCCTCTGTTCTAAAAAAATTGAATTTCAATATGTCATGAAAGTGGTAGTTTCGACTGTAAATTTCATAAAATCAAGAGGACTCAATCACAGGCAATTCAAACAATTCCTTGATGACATCGAAAGCGAATATGGAGATTTATTGTATTATACAGAAGTAAGGTGGCTAAGTCGTGGATTGACACTGGAACGATTTCTAAATTTAATAGAAGAAATTGGAATATTGCTGGCGGAAAAGCAAAGGGATGTCCCGGAACTTAAAAATCCTGATTGGTTGTGTGATTTGGCTTTTTTAGTTGATATTACAAATCATTTGAATGTATTGAACACACGGCTTCAAGGCAAAAATCAACTGATATCCCAGCTCTACGCTCATGTATCATCCTTTCAATGCAAGCTGACACTTTTCAGATCGCAATTGAATTCTGGAAATTACAATCATTTTCCGAATTATAAGAAAATGGCTGAAAAATTCAACAAAACTGCGATTGATTTCAGTTATGTAGAAAAGCTAGATATTTTGATTCAATCTTTTCAAGACAGATTTTCGGAGTTTAAAAAAGTGAAACCTCTGTTGGACATATTCAGCAATCCTTTCACGATTTCAGTTGAAAATGTGCCAGATTGACTCTGCAGTTAGAAATTATCGACATTCAAAACGACCAAGATTTACGCAACAAATTCAACGAAACTTGCTGAACTTTTACCGCTGCATTGATAAAAATACGTACAAAGAGTTGCGCATAAACGCTCTGAAATGTGCCAGCTTATTTGGTTCTACCTATATATTTCGATTTTTTGTTTTATTATTATTTAGTATTGAAAAGGTTTGTTCACACCTTTTCAATACTAAATAATAATAAAACAAAAAATCGAAACCGCCTTGCAAATGAAAGTTTGGAAGCAGTTTTACGTGTTGCTACAAGTAAATTTGAGCCAAATATAAAAAAGATTGTAAGCACTATGCAGTGCCACGCTTCAAATTAATAAATTCTTTTTCAATTTTAATACATTATTATCAATTCTTTATTGTCTTTAATTACGTATACTTCTGGCGGCCCGCCATCAGTTCATAATTTTCCCGAGTGGCCCCTAGTCTTAAGTCTGTGCATCACTGGTCTAAGATGATACTCTCCTGCCGAATACCGCTACAATATACGAGTATCATTAATTTTCTTACTAAGTACCTACTTAGTATTTATTAAATGCTATTACGAATATTAAAAAAAATCGATGAATAATTGTTAGGCAGTGGTGAAATTGATAAAATTAATAAATACTATCATATATTACACTATATACACAGACTAAATAATCGTATAAATTAATACGTGAAGAAAAACTTTGTACCTACTTCCTTTTGTAACGTCGTACATCCTTCAAAAATGCCGAAGAAGTTCAGTTTTTGCTGCAAAAAAATCTGCCACATCAAATTTACAAAAAGATGGTCTTACCATTCATATACAAGTAATTTTTAATCACATTATTAATATTTTCTCCCATTTAAATTTAAAAATTGCAATAATAACGGTCGTATTCTTTCGTATTTGTATACCAACACAGGCCGCTCGCCCTCATACAATATATGGATCGGTCGAGCGAAAATAAAATAAAACATACATTGTTTACGTTCATACTGCCAATGTCAAAGACATAATTGTCCTAAAATGAAGAATTCTAAATTGTCTCTTAGATAAAGTCGTTTGTTGACGTTGATACTGCCAATGTCTCAAAGTAAGTACAAGCCTATAATGCTAAACATAAATAATATACTTAAATTATTAGTTATTACTCTAAGCCCAATACCAATCACTTAATAGGCTGTGGTCAAACAGTCGTACAGAGTAGAGATATTGGCCATAATTTTAAATGTTGCCAGCAAAATAATTACTAACCCTAGATGAAGGATTAAAAGTGAAAGTGAAGGAAAAAAAACTGACAGATTAACTGATGTTGATTACAGTAAGCTGTGTGAATTTGGTGTGATTTCAAATGTTCCCTTTTTGAATAGTGTGTATGTCAAGATAAAAAAGCATTTTTTTATATTTTATATATTACGTCTTTACCTATGAAATTGCCGTTTTTATGAAAGAAGTTAGTAATTTTTTTCTATAAGTTTTATTTCTGTTACTCAAAGTAATGCAATCACCCATGCAATCAATACATCTTTGCCAACGCAGTGGCGGTTAATTAATTCTTAAATATATCAGCTGGACGAGATGCAACAAATTTTTAAAAAATTAAAAAAAGAATTTAAAATAAAATTAATTTATTAATTAGAATTCTTACCCAAACAAAAAATATTTTGATTAGAAATGGCCAGTACAGCAGACCGGCAATTTCATAGGTAAATGCATATTATTATGTTGCATACTTAAGACTAAGAACGATAATGTTATATACTTCAATTACAAATAATTTATACATAAAACAGAGTTTGGTAGAGGTATATGATAAGGGGTCATTCATTAATAGGATGATTTTGGCAACTTTTGACACCCCCCCCCCCCCACCAAACCCCATGTAGGGGGGTACTAAAACTCACAGTTTGACATAAATGAAAAAAATTTTTCTTAAATAAGATATAAATCGAAGTATGCATTATAGAAAACCAATTGGCAACCGCAATGGAACTAAATTACTAATTCGACTTGCGAAATATTACGTATAATGGGTTTTACCCACAAGATAAGGGCATGTAGAGATTTTTTTAACCCTCCCCCTCGGGATATTCACGTAATTAATGAATGGCCCCTAACGATTTATTAACTTTAATATAACTACATTAAGTCTGAGGTTGGTTAGAAAGATTTTAATTTGAATTTGTTTAACTTTACAGATGGCGGAAAATGTCTCCGCATTTCTCGGTCTCTGATCTTTGGGCTACTACTACCTTCGTTGCTTTACACTTTTTCGCTTGAATTGTGTAAATAATAAGATAATGTGATACTAATAAATAAATGTATAATAATTATTTAATATTAATATGTATATCTCTAAACTCATATACATTTTAGTTTATAATAAAATTTTATAAAAATAGAATTTATTTATTTATACCTTCATGTACCGTGTAGTGGCGGTGTAATAATATCCAATACCACATATCGTTCCACTGGTCTCGTAAGAGATGACAGAGGGAAACTGAAAGAAGAGATAGGTAGCATCATCTTGATGCAACAACTCAAAACAATAAAAAAACTACGGTTGCCAACGCCGCTACAAATTGGCAATTGTGGCAAAATTTCCCTTAAATAGCAATCTATAGGGGAGGCCTATGTTCAGTAGTGGATTTTATAGGCTGTAACGGACGAATATCTTCATGGACGTTAGTATAGTTTTTTTTTTGTAGGATGGGGTGACAAACGATCAGTGGTACCATAGACTAAGGATATACTGGCGTATAGACGACCTGACAGCCCGAAAACGCGTGACCAATTTTGATTTGTTATTGTGTGAGTTTGCTAGCGATGTACATTTTACTTAAAAGGACTATCGAAAAATTATTGTTCAGAAATCGGTATAGACTAAAAAAATAGTTTAGTGCACTAAACTATTTTATTAAAAATTAACTGAGTTTTTACCATGATAGTTTTAAAATAACTAAAAATATTCAAATAACATGTTACCGGGAATAAGTTGCACCCACCTGCCTTTTCCATCATCTATAATCCATTACAGCCTATAAAAATCCACGGCTAAACATGGGGCTCCCTATAGATTGCCTCATAGGGGGGATATTTGCCATCGCTTCGCCAGCGGGTTCTCAACCACAGTTTTTTATTATTTCGAGTTGTTATCAGGAAGATGTTGCTGCCCATCGCCTCTTTCAGATTCCCTTTGTCGCCTTTTATGACACACATGGGACGATATTGGGTAGTGGAAATACTTTCACCGGCACCACTTGCCTTTTGTTGGACTTTAATTCAAAATGTACAAAATTGCATTAATATCTGAAGAAGCGAGGTAAGTCTACCGATAAAATGAAACAATTTTCTCCGAGAATCAGATGGGAAAGTTATATTTTTGACCTTTGGAGAAAAATATTTAATGCCATGTACAATTTCCCCGGAATTTATTTCTTTTTTTTTAATGTTATTGTTAATCAAATATAAATAGGTAGATACTTAATTAAGTATTTATATTTTATAAAATATTTTGCTGGTAAAATAAAAAACGAGGACACGTAGTATATAATGGCTGCTTTATTTTTTATGGAACTACCAGTTCAAATTAAAAAAATTTGTATATAATAGCCAGATTCATGAGGAATAGTATAGGCTATCTAGCATGTAACTATCAGCTAACCTTATATATTGATTTTTGTTAAGCAAGTCGGAAGAAAAAGTGCTCTCTAACTGCTTTATCCACGTGCGTGTAGCGTAACATTTAGTATTACATAAATACCATGTTCTACAAAAATATTGGTCTTTGCTCCATCTAAAAAAAAGTCTGCGATACCATATGCCTATTTCTTATACATAAGCCACAATAAGTTATTTTGTGAAAAAAATTATTGAAAATGAAAAAGTGATTTATGAGCGTTATTATTAGGCATGGCATATTAACCCTTACGAACGAAAGTTACTTCATCATCAAGACAATTTTATGAAGATAAACTTTGCTCTTTATAGCATGTTATTTGGACGCATAGGTTAAGGGATAGTGAAAAATTAAAATAATGAACACTCTGCCCGGAGCGCGAACGACCGCATAAACCCTAGCCGATCAGATTCGAAAGAAACCAGAAGTGAATGCCTATATTGGTCCGAGAGCTCATGACGCATTTTTTAAGAAGTGTTTGATGCATCATGAAACTTTGTTGAAAAGTATCAGTCCACTCAATAAACAGGTATATGACAGTTTGCCTGGTCTACCTGGTTACACCTGGTACTGCGCATACAGGTAAGTCGCAAAAAAAATTGTCTCAAAAAAGTGTTTGATTCAAATAATAATAATGACTATCCGTCAGTTAAGTTGATTAAGAATTAAGAAAAAAAAATCGCAGACAATTCTGTAGGGGTTAACATAGGGGCCGACTACCCCAAAGTTGTATTTTGAAAATAATCTGCCATTTTTACAGCGTGTTTATTATATACAATAAAACAATCCCACAAAAAGGCAGACAGTTTATCCGGAGATTAATAATTTAAAAATCTATACATATAAATAGAATTAATCTGTCTGTTTGTAATGAAAAAAAAAGGTTTTACTAAATGTATATGAAATTATATACGATATTTATAACAAAAACACATTTTTTTAAATTTTTGTCTGTCTGTCTTTCTGTCTGATTGTCTGTTTGTTCCGGCTAATCTCCGAAATGGCTGGGCCGATTAACGGGACTTTCACTGGCAGATAGATGATGTTATAGGGAGTAACTTAGGCTACTTCTATTTAAGAAAAATTATTAGGGTTCCGCGCAAATAATAGACATTAAAGTGCACCAAGTGTCCGAGGAAACAGATGCACTCTTCTATTCTCTCAATCGCAGTATGTTAAGAAAACGGTCACCCACACATGGACCGACCGCAGCAAGTGCACCTTTATCTTGCAGATCTTTTGATCTACGCAACTGCTACTTAACTACGAGTTCCTATTCTCTACGACTAACGCAGTAGGTAATGAACCACACTATCAAACCCTCGGCACACTGTCATCGAGCATCAAGCATGAATCGGACATCAAGCGTTGCGCGTATCAAATACTATGAAATTTATACTATCCTGGTACACTAAATCGCGCGCCTCATGGCATCTAGAGGCGCTTCAGGAGCATTACTCAATAACCATACCTAACTACGCTAAAAGTTTTATCATTGTGACTTAGGAATATATTCCAAAGCTCCGCACAACCCCTTGGGGAAAATATATAATAATAGAGATAGAGTTTTATAATGTATAAAAATCTATCTCTATTTTTACCTAAAGTTTTTGAAGTTAAATTTTTATACCAGTGTAAAATAGCAGTTTAGCACTGCTGTGTTTCGTATGGTGAGTGTAGAGAACCGGAGACCCATTTTACTGGAAAAGAGGTATTCTATTTTAGTCCTCAAGGGTGATGACGCATCTGCATTTTGATTCGCAAACGAGGATAGATGTAGATGTCTATAGGCCACAGCAACCACTTACCATCAGGTGGACTGTGTGCTCGTTTTTCACCCCATCCTATAAAAAAAGAAGTCTTATTGTAACAATAATATACTTACTGGTACAAAAAATGTACGAATGTCTCCTTTTAATAAAGTTGTATTCACTCTGCTTTTTCTTATATATTTCTCAATAAAATGTTTACTAAAAATTGTACAGTTCTTCTTAGGATTTCAACCAATCCGCCCAATTAATGCCAATTATTTTTTTCTAACTAAGGGATCCAGAGGGAATCTGTTTGACCAACGGCAAAATAAAATTTTGTTTTTAGAACGCAAATCGAGCATTTAATTTCATTCTTCTTTTTGTTGTGTATAAAAGTCTATCGATTCTTTATACACATTAAAGATAAATATCGACATTAATTTTGATATATTGGAGTCAATCTCTAGCGTAAATGTAAAATAAATTTGTTTAAAAATGAATTCACCAAAATCATACAAATTATCAATAATGTGACTTTTTTCTTTGCAAAATATCAAAATTAATAAAATAATTGAAAATATTATATATTTTAAACAGTATATAACATAAATTTTAAGCAAAAATAGACGCGTCTTATTATTGACGACGACTTGCGAATTTACCTGTGAAATGTGCAACCATCAGGATTATTACTATTGTTGATACCGCGTTCACTAACGGAATATGAAAACATTTTAGAAAACTATAAATTATACAAATTAACATTATTATAATCTAAAAACACACAAAATATCTACAAGCTTATTTCTTGCGCGCCGACTTGCGCCGACCTGTCATTCAAAATCGGTTACAGTCATGAGATTTGGTATCCTTTTCTATCTTGCATTTTTGCCATAAGGAATTTTCTTCTCCCTTGCACACTATGTTGGTCTATACGCCAGTATATCCTAAGTCTATGGTGGTTACTGTGACCCATAGACATCTACATCTATCCTCAATAAAGAATCAAAATGCAGATGCGTTGTCACCCGTGAGGACTAAGATGGAGCCTCTTTTATAGTAAAAAGGGTCTCTGGTGCTCTACAGTCGCCATATGAAACGGCAGAGTTAAGCTGCTATTCTGTGAGAACGTGGTCCTTCCCCGGTCGAGCCGACCCAGTCATGCTACAACCAGTGGCGTAGCTACTCAGGGGGCTAGGCGGGGCAGTGCCCCGGGGCCCCCAAGCTAAAGGGGCCCCTCGGCCGCCAAGAACGACATTCGAAAAATTATGTACTATCCTAGGTGTATAAAGAATTTTCAAGTTTTAACTTTTTGGCCCCTGACTACGAACGGCTCGAAATGAAACCACAAAAATTCCAGACTTCCAGAACATAAATATAGCATAGTTAAAGATAATTGTCTACTGCGTTTTATTGTCTTTTTTAATATAGAAGAGCGGGACAAACGAGCATGCGGCTTACTCGTTGATAAGTGTCGACTACCGCACCAACAAAATACAACACCAGGTGAATTACAGGTGCGTTGCCGGGTTTTTAAAAAGGAATAAGCTCGTTTCTTGAAGCCCTCTAAGACGTATCGGTCTGACGGTAGTGGACCGCCAAACATCCCGATGATGTGGATTTGTGATGTGCGTTGATGAAATTTTGTGGCTGGAATTAATCCGAGCAATTCCTCTGAACACTCCTCGTGATAAATGCGATGGAAAATGCAAAGGGATGCAATATCTCTTCGTCTCGTCTTTCGTCTTCGTCGGTCGTCGACGATTCGAACCACTCTGCGCTGGATGCAGTCAAGTGGAAGGAGCTGGTAGTAGGGAGCCCCGGCCCAGGGATGAGAACAGTATTCCATGTTAGGCTGAAACTGCCCCTTGTAAAGTATAAAGTTAGTTATAAAATACTGTCCCACTCTGCTGAACCCGCCAAGCTTTTTAGAGGCCAATTTGGCCTTCTCTTCCAAGTGA